GGGTTAAACAAAACAACAGGCCCAAAATCTTACCCTATTCTAAGACTTCCAAAATTCTGACCCCTTTTATACAAAACCCAAACAAACAGCTAATAAAGAAAACAAAAGAACTTGACGAATCAACATCGTGGAATTAATTCAACCCCCATTATAGTATAGCAAAACTCAAATCGATCGCGAAAAACTCAAATCAAGCACACGAAGATTCAATAAGCTAGGTACTAAAATTAACAGAGATATAAGCAAGTAGCAATCCTGAACACTACTAATTATTATACTAACACGACTCACTCAAGAGACAAGAGAGGGGACTAATGGAATAATGATGAAAAACAAAGAAGAAGAAGGAGTAAAAACGAAAAGCAAGGACAGGAACATGAGAGAAGAGAAATACCTAAAAAGAAAACAAACGGATGGCTTGAACGAAATCTGGCGTCTTTCGATTCAAACCGAAAATAGTATCAATCGAGTGTTCTCTTTGAGAACAAACAATCAATACCAATTTCTAGTTGAATCAACCTTGGAAGCTTTGAAGAACTGGAGCATCTTTCTCTCTTCCTCTTTAGACCCAACATGAACGGGTATAGTGGGGAGTTTTGGGGTGATATGAGGGTATATGATGGGGAATTTGTGATGAGGGAGGGAAGGGGAAGCTATGGTGTAAGTTTGGGGTCGAACAAAGGCGGCGGCGCCACCGGAGAGCCTAAGGGCGGCGCTAGGGTTTTGCAGGTTTGAAAAGTTCCGATGGGATTCGGGGAGAAAGGGTTGTGGATTTGGAGAGAGGAGGAGAAGAGGAATACTTTGGTGTAAGTTTGGTGGGAAACGGAGGTTCGCTGCCGCCGCGAGCGAATTCCGGCGGGCGGCAGACGGTGGTCTATGGCGGAGGTTAGTGGAGATGGTTGGGGGGGTTCTGAAAGGGGGGGGGGGGTAGGGTGTTAAGACATTTATATATTAAAACCTCATCAGTTCTCAACCATTAGATCTCTTTACCTCGACGGCTGAGATTAACTGGAACTAAACGGTGTCGTTTTTGAGGATGGGGGACATTGGACCGGGTTTGGGGTGGACTTGGGCCGGGCATGGGGCTATTTGGACGGGGTTTTGGGGAATTTGGGCTAGGTTTGGGAATTTAATCAAGACAAGCCCAATTCAATCTAATTTCCACAATTTTTCCCTCTTTCCTTTTTTTTTCAAAATTAAACTAAAATCTAAATTAAATTATAAAACCAAATTAACCTATCAAAAATGCTAATTAATCCTAAATAATAATTATCACAGATAACTAAAACAAATTGAAAGAAAAATCACCTAAAATCAAAGTTAAAATTAAAGGTGCAAATTAAACCATTTTTTGTGATTTTCTTTTTATAAAATGACTAATTACTAATTAAAAAATGTCAAATTAAATCCTAAATGCAAATGCACGTATATTTTGTATTTTTCCATTTAATTAAAACGAAATAAACATGCACAAACAATTGCGAACAGAAAATGCCACAAAATTGCAAATGATGAAAAGAGATTTGTTTTGTTTTGAAATTATGGGAGTAATTCACATAGGGCAAAAATCACGTGCTCACACTCTTGCTTTACTTTTCTTACTTTATTGCTTTTAACCCGTCTCGAGGTCATCATCTCGAGAAGTAATATTTTGATTCACTTATCTCTTTCATTTCTACTTCATATTTTTTGATTATTAATTGGTATTGCACTAAATCACATATCTTTAAAACCACAAATCAAATTTAATTGTTACTCATATTTTCGAGGTAAACATAAGATACATCACAAGGAGATCTTTAGGAGCTGGGATGGATTCTTGTTGCATACAGAATCACAAATTCAAGGGAGAGTACCTCATGGGGTCATTTTGAGGGCATCAAAGTGCATAAGGGGAAACAAAGCTGAAAAACTGGAGGTGTGGCCATTTTTGCAAATAGATTGCGACCAATTGTGCAAAGAAAGGATAACTGCGATGGGGCTTCAAGTGTGACGGAGCAGGCTGGGATGATTTGAAAAATAGCCAGATTTACAAGTGGTCGTTAAAAAATAGCCCAGTTTCAAAAGTAATCGAAATTTAGCCACTTTTCATGTAAAGATAAATTTGAGCGAAAACACTGTTTAAAACCCGGAAAATACGCCAGTATATTATGCTGGAGTTCCAGCATAAGTATACTTGAACTCCAGCATATTATACTGGAGTTCCAGGATAAGTATGCTGGAACTCCAGCATAATATGATGGAGTTCCAGCATAAGTACACTAGAACTCCAGCATAATATACTGGAGTTCCAGCAAAGTATACCGGTCCAGTATAATATGCTGGAAGTTCATACACAAGTGCTCGAATCTCCAGTATATTATGCTGGAACTTTCCATGTGTTGGAGTTCTAGCATAATATGCTGGAAGTTCATACACAGGTGCACCAAACTCCAGTATATTATGTTGGACCGGTCTCTGTTGCAGCAAAATAGTTACTATTTTACATTGACTTGGTAAACGCTGGCTATTTTTTAATGACCAGTCCGAAAACTGGCTAGACCGTGCTATTTTTACGAGTAGGCTGGCTAGTGTTTATATCTCATTTTATCAGCTTTATTAGACTACATCATGTACTATCACTATTGAGTATCACACTCAACTTTGGTAATAAGGATTATGTGTTTGTCAAATATTATTTCTTACACGCCGTAAGACTTCACGACATTGTGTTTTTTATGTTAGATATATATAAAAACTAGTCCTAAGCACCTTGCCTAGTGATTTTGCTTTTAAAAAAAAAGTCGCATCATTGCACTACTAACACAATTGTATGTCACTAAACTAACGAGATAAGGAATATATTTTTTCTGCTTTAGCAAATGAAAGCTTATCGAAGAAACAAAGTAAAGAGGCCAATAGAAGTTAAAAAGGAAAATAAAGACCCAAGTAATTTTGCAAGAGGAAGCAAAAACTTGGGAGCGAAATTTTACTTTGGGATGGAACTTGGAAGTTAAAGAAGAAAATAAAGCTCCACTTAGGCTGTGTTTGGTATGGAAAAAATCCATTTTTTACATGTTTGTTTGGCTTAAAAATTTTGAAAAATATTTTTCGAATAAAATTATTTTTCACCAATTTCAGGAAAATCACTTTCTTACCATGAGGAGGGAAAACATTTTCGAAACTCTCTTTGAACCCTTCCTACCCCACAACCAAAACACAATCCACCCCTCGCCAAACCGGCCCCCAACACCCCAACCTATCACCCCAATCATCGACTTCCTCTACCCGGCACCCCTGCCCACAAACGTCCTGATCCACTTGTCACGGAAATAAAACCAAAAGACAAAAGTCACTTAACAAACCAGTGGGCCAAGCTTAGCAAGCTAAACTTTTTTAGCAATTTAGTTGTAGGAAAGAAATCATTCGCTAAAAATTTAAAGCAAATCTTCTTACTTTTTATATGCAAAATTGTAAGAATAATTCATCAAATGTTGGAATAGAAGGGAATAAACTAAATCTAAAAGTAAAATCTTTTTGAGAACAAGGGTTCTAAAGCACGAGAGAGAGAGACATGAAATTGAAATTGGGACTTTAACACAACTTGGAACTAGGGAGAACAAAAAGTAATAGGAATGGGGTCTGGGATTCAAAACTAAAAAAAGGTGGAAAAAAGAAAGAAAAGAAGGATAAAAAAAGGGAAAATACCAGCTATGTCCATTTATAATTAATTTATTATAAAAATTGACCAATTCATAAAATATTACTAATATTAGCCAAATATTACCAATATTAGCCAATTAGTTATTTGTAGCCAAAAGCCCAAAACAAGGTCAAATTTTTGCTTTCTTTTGAGTGAGGTTAGAAACTTAGAATAGATTGGGTACATCTTAAGGAGCTTGAATCTCATTACCTTATGATTTATAAATGTCCTTAAATTACCTCTAATTTATTTTTATTGTTCAATATTTTAGCTTTTGATTTTACTATTAGACTTGAGTTATGTGGACTTATATAATGTCTTTTCTTATCATGATATAAAAAACTTTCTCATCTCAAATTTAAATAAGTTTTACCCTTTTTCCTATGATAAAAAATCTGAATTTTTATTTTTTTTCTCTATTTGTTCTTTATTTGATTTTATATTGTTCAATATCTAATATTATTACATTGTCATGTGAATTTTTATTAGCCCGTTTGAATTCAATATCTATTTTTATCACACTCATTCTAATATAATATAGATAAAAATTAAAAACTTTCTCATCTCAAATTCACATAATTTTTGTCATTCTATTTTCTTAATTGGACCATATTTTAAAAAAATTATGTTATGCTTTCAAACTTAAACTAACCGAACTCAATTCAAATATTAATCATAGAAAATATTTTCTTAATTGTTGAATACATTATATCTAAATGTTGTAGTAATATTTACGTATAAAATATTCATTTGCACGATTTATCAATATTAATATGAAATTATTATTCTTGTTATTAAAGTATCTTTTACTGGTTATTTAATTTTTATCTTACCTTATAAATAATTTGTATACTTTATGTAAGATCTTATTTTGCTGCTTGAATTTATTTATTTTTTAAACTCAATAAATCTTTAATATCTTAAGTAAATTTTAGTTTCATTTTATATTTTAACTTACTCCAAAGTATAAATAGTCATAGGTTATCTTAATTTACGTCTTTATATATTTTTATTTTTTCTATTATAGTTTTTAATTAATTTTGGTAAGTCTATGATATGACTAAATATTGGTAAGTTGGAACTTGTTTGGGATATTTCTCTAAGATTCCCTAAAAAGAAAGGAAAAGGAACGAAAACATAGAGTATTAAGGGGAATTGATCTTATTCATCTACGTGAACAACCTAATATTATTCAGCCACATACACCACTTAACCCTTTTAGAGCATAATAAGAATATAATATCATATTTATTCCGAAAATATTATGTACATAATATACATAATTTAGTGGGGGAATCTAATCACGAGTTCACATACACCAGACTGACATTAGCGGTCCGTGTACGAGGCTCCTTTTCCTCTCACACAACTGATGTTAGCGTCCATCTGGAACATTCACTTGCTTCGCTTCCAATAAAAGGCACACCCAGATACGATGACGTTTGGTGGATTTCAAAATTTAGCCTTACCTTTTGTGCGGCTGACAACGGAGAACGTTGACGTAAGTGCTACTGGGTCTGTTTGTTTTAAGTCATTCATCCCATAGTGTTCACCTACAAAATGGGTATTGCTGCTGCCTATTGTGGTGGATTGGTTTGTTGTTCCCAGTTGGGATTGAGCAATTCGAGGATAGTGTGTTTATCGGTGTTGGAGCAGGTGGATAAGGAGTTAAAGAAGGGGGATGACAGGGCTGCACTGTCTCTTGTGAAGGATTTGCAGGGCAAACCCGGTGGTCTTAGGTGTTTCGGCGCCGCTCGACAGGTTCTTTTGCTAATGTTTTATCAATATTTCATATGATTCAACTTTCCTTATCTGGGGGCAAGGCGGAGTTGGACCTATTTTCCCTTTGTTGGTTCATCTATTATGAAGTTTTATTACTATAAATATAGATATAATTGCTTTGTAAGAAAGGGTGAAAGCTTACTTAGTTGTTAAGAGTTTAGCTGGATATATTGGTTAAACTGTGTCTAGCTAATCATTTCAAGTTTAATGTTAGAAGTCTGCTTTAACCTTAATTTATAGGAGGACATTGGCCTTGTAGTTAGGAAACTGCTTTAACTTTATGTGTAGGTTCATACAGGTACCTCAGAGGCTATATTCCTTGGATGAATTGAGGTTGAACGGTATAGAAACCACATCTCTTCTATCACCAGTTGATACCACCCTTGGTGCCATTGAAAGAAATCTGCAGGTTGCTGCTGTATTAGGTGGCATTGCTGCGTCATATGCGCTTGATTGGAGTCAACAACAGCTCCTTTTCGTTTCTCTTGGACTTCTTTTTTTGTGGACTCTGGACTTGGTAAACTCTTTAGATTCCTCTGAATTGTCTTCTTCTTTTCTTTTAAATAAGTTTGCTACATGTCATTCCTCTCTGATTGTTGATAAACAATTTTTATATCTTGTCTTTAGCGATTTCTTGAAAATGGTTGCTAAGGTCAGAGCCATGTTATTCACTGAGCATTTGATTTGCTTTAAGTTTTACAAGATCAACTTTTGCTTTTCTCCATGTGAAAATCAAAGTTCAGATTTACTTGCAACAAGTTGCTTTACACATTTTTTGTCCAATGTTTTATGTAAGAGCTATTCTTCAGTGATGTCCATTCTAACCTCAATTCGTTTTCCATGCGATCATTTGAAGCAAATCCGGTAAAACTGATAAGTGTGTGAACTAGAATCTTTGGCATCTTGGAAACCTGGCTAAACCTAAAGATACGAGTTGCACAGAAGAGAACCATCTCATACGGGTCTTTCAAATTCAAAGATTCTTCTTTCTCGAGAACTTTTCATCTTTGATTGAGAATTTAGGTTGCCAGTGTACCTCCTTATGGTTCTTGAAGTCATCACAGTGAAACTGAGGAGGAGGTTAGAAGAAGTAGAAAAAAATGTTTAGTCATTTGATCATCATTGATATGTCCATACATAACTTGTAAATTAATTGGATTTGATTGATCCGAAAAGGTTTTTTTTTCCAGTTTCTCTACTGATTAAACATTTTCTTTCTGATGATTCTGAACAATTTGTGCATTTACATCTGGTAGAAGGATCTTTCATACAGCAGACTTGTGCGGTTATGTCTATTGGAAGGATCTTTTGTACCTCAGCATTTCGAACTGGTTCTTTTCTCTAGAAAGTAGTAATAAGGATTATGTTTCTAGGGTGCTCTATTAAAATTATAAGTAAACATGGAAGACCAGTTAGGAACAAAAAACCACATTCCTATTCGCTACCAGCTTCAGTTTTCACTTATAGAAGATATGCTGAAAGAGAATCTGAAACAAAGAGGTTTGGAAAAAGATCTACAACAGCAGAGGACGAGAACTGAATACCAACTGATATAAGAATAATCCACCAATAAGACCAAAATCCCCAATATAATGCTCCTATAGCTTTGCTCTAAAAGGGGTATTAAAGACTAATTTTATCACATGAGCATCGAACTACAATATTCCTCTGTGAAATTTAAGCTTCCATGTAAACCTTGCTAGCTTGACGTGTTTCCAGATAAATAACACATTTGCTTTCCTTGTGCTCCCTTTTCTCAATGTTTAAAAATCACATTAGGGACATGCTCGTGATGATCTTTTAGTTACATGTTATGTCTCGGGAATATAATATTTCTTAAAAAGGAGAACCCCCTTAACCATGTGATAGCAGTTCGCACTCTTGTTTATGTATATTTGACTGTTAACGACTTAATCAAGTCAAGTGAGGTGAAAGTACGAAGACTACAACCTGGAGCTATGTGATCTGAGATATTTCAAGCATAATTGCTGATTTATCCATATTTGTGCCTAGGTTTCTTTCAATGGAGGGGTTGGTGCTTTGATCCTTGACACAATTGGTCATACTTTCAGTCAGAAGTACCGCAACAGGGTTGTTCAAGTGAGATTCATCTCTCTCACTCTCTGTCTCTCTCTCTCACATACAAATGCAGAAAACTAAAAGGGCTTTAGTTTTCAACTCTTCTCAAGAAAGGAAAAAAAAAATGAAACTAAAATATGCCTTTAGTTTCAATTCTCTTTGATTGGAACATCTTTACAAAAGAGTTACAAATTAACAGACATCCAGAATTTGGTTGTTCATTTTGGTGTTCCTTCTAGCAATGTCTTCAATACCAAGCAAGTATTTAATTTCCGTATTCTTTACCTCTACTTTCCTCTCTCAGAAAGTCTTCATTAATTATTCCGTGACTTGTCTTGTAACAAGCTGTTCATTCCCCAATTCTGATCTAGCATGAAGCTGGCCATTTCTTGATTGCCTACTTGCTGGGTATTCTTCCAAAGGGGTATACTCTCACTAGTTTGGACGCTTTGAAGAAGGAAGGATCATTAAACATCCAAGCAGGGACAGCCTTTGTCGACTTTGAGTTTATGGAGGAAGTAGGTAGTCTCCTATCAATTTTTCACCTCCAGTAAAGCTTTTCAGTATTGGTTGTTCTTTAAATATTCCCCCTTTACACGCATATTCTGTTGCAAGATTTCTGGGCTGGGCAATAATCATGTTATAATTTTATTACTCTTTCATTCTAATTTTAAGCCTGATTTATTTCCATGCAGGTAAATAGTGGAAAACTAACAGCCACGGTATTTATCTTTATCATAATTATTGTGTATGTTTATTTCTTTTACCTGTTATATAGTTCCTTTACTAATAAAGCACTTCTGACAGATGCTGAACCGGTTTTCATGTATCTCACTAGCGGGTGTAGCAACCGAATATCTTTTGTTCGGTTATGCTGAGGGAGGCCTGACTGACATTAATCAGGTTTATATCATTCCTCTGCTCCTATAGTATGACGATAAGCCAACCTTCTAGGTTTATTTTGCTCAGTTCATATCTTAACTGAGTGGGACATCTAAATTAGGACATGACATCATATGGTAAAATCGAATTATGCCATCTGAAGTGTAATGAACAGTAATTGTGGTCCTTAGAAACTCTGCTGAGAAAAAAAAAAGAATTTTATTAATATGGAATCTATATATAGTGCTATTTACTTTCGATGCATTAAAGAGTTAATTCTTCCACCTACTGTAAATGTACATACAGTTGAAATGAAAGAAAACGCAAAACATTTTGCCATTCTGGCAAACTGTTTTTTTTTTTTGACTGGCAATTGTATAACTTCTTATCATTCTTTCATTTTATTCACTTGTGGCAAATACTACATTATTCGAAAAAAGATCGAAATTGAACGACTCAACATGAGCTTTGGCCCACTACTCTTGGACTCTAGTTGTCAAATAATGCAATACTGCCCACTGGTGGTCTTCTTCGTTCTTAATTAGTGAGTAAACTTTAAGGGGTAAGCTTTTTTCTTGGTGAACTGTTATAAGGCTGAAAATCCTACATCACTTAGCTAAATATTGTGCATTTGTGCATTTTTCACCAAAATGATTGATTCTGTAGTAATTGTTAAACAAAGACTAACAGAAATACTTGCTTGACAGTTGGATGCATTACTGAAAAGCCTGGGATTTACACAGAAGAAAGCAGATTCTCAGGTGAGATGGGCTGTATTGAACACAATCCTCATCTTGCGCCGCCATGAGAAGGCACGAGCGAAGCTTGCAGAGGCAATGACTCAAGGGAAATCTGTGGGCGTCTGCATTGACACTATAGAGAAATACATTAGCGATAATGATTTGTAGCCCTTCATATTTCTTAAAATCCATCATATAATTCCTGATATCCCCTATGATTGTACTCCTTCATTCTCTTTATAAAGTTATCTTTTTGAGTGAAAGTGAATTGAAGTTACTGCTCCTCATAATTCTTCATACGCAAATCTAAGTTCAAGTATGTGCAGTCATTAGCCAGCCAATAACTTCACCAGAGCGCTTATTATTTCCTTGTTTCCTATGCCCCTATTCATAATCATTTTCTAACAACTACTGATATCGTTATTTACATTATCGACTTTGTTCACGATACCATTATTTAATGAAAGTCAATCTTTGAGTGGAAAAAAAAATACTCTCTCCGTTTATAGTTTTGACTTTAAAGTACATAATTTATCATGGTACCCATATTAATTGTTGTATTATCTTAATGGATTTGAAAAATGATTTTAAATGAGTAATTAATGTTAAGTGTAAAACAGGAAAAATAAAATATTTTTCTTTTGATACGCCAAAGTGGACAAGTAAAAGTAAAAATTTATTTAGAATAGTGGACAAGTAAAAGTAAACGGATGGAGTAATTATTTATAAATGGTTCTCTTCTTTGAACTAGAATCTCCCAATTCTCAATAAAATCTTTTCATATATAGATTTCATCCCATTTCTCAAGGATAATTTTTCTATCTTCCAAAACCCACACACAAAGTAGCAATTATTAACTTCCTTTTTTCTCTGTCTTCTTCTTCATTTTTTTTCTTGGCTATTTCTCTTCTTCTTTTCTTCATTCTTCTTTCTTTCTGTTTTCCCTTCACACCTAGATATCTTTTTCTTTGTTTCACAATACACACTGGAAAAGCTTAGTTCAACACCTCTCTTTCTCCTTATTTCATTAGCTCTCTTTCTGTATCTCTCACACTAGTACTCAAATAAAACACACAATCTCATATTTTTTTCTTCTTTATTGTATACGTTTTCCAACCTGATTTTACCCCTATTTATCCCATTTTTCAAGAATAATTTTTCTATCTTCCAAAACCCATTCAAGAATAGCAATTACTAACCTCCTTTTCTGTCTCTGTCTTCTTCTTCTTTGTCTCTGTAAAGCTTAGTTCAACGACCTCTCTTTCTCCTCATTTGATCAACTCTCTCTCTGTATCTGTCACACTAGTACCCAAATAAAGTAATTTTAAGTTTTAATTTTTTGGAGAGAGTTACATCATTCACATCAAACGACATAAAGAAATTCAGTTAAAGAAGTTATCCAAAAAAATTATAAATCCTCATAAAGTCATAGTACATTTTTATATATAATAGTAATGTATAATTGTTTACCGTACCTTTTGCTTGTAATCTGTAAACGAAAAGTACATTCTAAACAATAGAGAAGAAAGCAGAAATTAGTCCAAGTGCACTGTTTTTTTTAAGGAACTTAATTCGCTCCTAATACCCGAGGTTTAGGATTATTTTCTCACAAGATAAAACGGATTATCCTCATTTATATACCGGTACTTCAAACCCCAGTGACCAACGAACTCAAAGATCGATATCAAATCACACTTACTTTGATTTACTTTCTGTAAGAAAATAATGCAGAAGAATAAAAAGAATTTAGAATTTTTTTTAGGAAAATTTGAGGGAATGGCTGGTATTTATAGCCAGCAGGTTGGGTTCTAACGAAGAGGTGCAACTCTTCTAGGTGGCCTTTCGCATAAAGAGGCTATTACAGAAATGACCATTTATGCAAAATATAACAAGAAAGTAAAATCGAACAGAAAATTAAATTACTGTTATAAAAATGGTCATTAAATATTAATATTGACAAATAAATTTAGTCCAAAAATTTAATCAATATAATCATTTGACCAAATCCAAATGAGCCGAGCGAGCGACGACTACGGCGTGAGGCTTGCCTTCTTTTCAACTCTTTAAGATCTAGAAGAAGTACAATTGTACATAAATCCTTTAAATATCTTTTCAATATCGGATAATGTTCATTTGTAAAGGATGAAAATTTAAAATTTTATTTTTTCTCCCTTTCTCATTCACTCCACTTTAAGCTATTTCAAAGCTTAAGTCCCAACAATCTCCTATATAAATATGGAATGGATATACAACGGAAATATGAATGAAAAACTGTGCGATTAGCAAGCAAGGATTAATCGCATCTGGATAAATAGGTTTTCCTTTGAAATTTTCCGTAGTGAACTTATGTCGGATATACTCGGTCAATCGGTAGATTTGATATTCTTGAACAGCCAAACTTTAGTGTATACCTAGACAATCATAAGTCACACAATCAACCTTTAACCGTCTTTGGTTCTCATTGGTGTGTTTGTTTCAGCCATGAACATCGCATGGTTTCATACGTGCGTAGAGAATTGCCCTTACAAAATTCACCTTGAAGCGGCTAATGCTTCACACTTACATAGGTAATTCCCAAATACGTCACCCCGTAGATACACTATTTGATAATTTCCGTATCAAACATAGAATCATTAAAAAGCCTTAACGCTTTATCCTAGGTACTGAACATTGTCTTATCACGAGAATGAACTAAAAATTTTATTTCACAATGCTAAGCTGTCATTAATGACTTTGTTTGATCTCGTTGAACCTAGATCTTGGGATCTTCAGTCCTCTAGGTAGAGTTACCTCCACAATGACTTGTCATCAACCATGTCCTATTCTCCTCGATAGTTTCTCAACTACCTCTCTAGTTAGGCATTTTGTAAATGGATCTGATACAATATCACTTGACTTCACATAGTCAATTGTGATAATTTTCCTAGAGAGTAGTTGCCTAACGGTTTTTATGTCTTTGTTATATATAACGATATTTTTCGTTATACATAACAGTCCCAACCTTTCTAATTATTGCTTGACTATCACAATGTATACATATTGGTGCCAACAGATTGAGCCAAAATGGAATATCTTTCAAGAAAATTCGGAGCCATTCAACTTCTTTACTGGCTTTATCTAAGGCTATGAATTCACCTTCCATTGTAGAGCGGGCAATACAAGTTTGTTTGGACAATTTCGAACACACCGCCTCCACCAATAACGAATGTATATCCACTTGTGAATTTAGAATCAGTTGAACCGGTGATCCAATTTGCATTAAGATATCCCTCAATCACCGCGAGATACTTACTACAGTGCAAACTAAAGTCTTGGTTATGTTTTAGATATCCCAAAACTCGTGTCATTGTCATCCAATGAGATTGACATGGGTTACTCGTTTATCCACTCAACTTACTTATATCACAAGCTATATCTGATCATGTCTGATTCATGATATACATTAAACATTCCAATACACGAGCATAATCCAATTGGGATATGCTTTGACCTTTATTCTCTGCAAGTACAAGATTTACGTCAATTAGAGTCTTTGAAATTTTAAAATCTAATTGCTTAAATTTTTTAAGTATTATTTTAATGTAATGAGATCTCGACAATGCCAAAAATTGCGGAGTATTATAGATTTTAATACCCACGATTAAATCGGCAACTCCCAAGACTTTCATATCAAACTTGCTAGTTAGCATAAGCTTAATCGCATTTATGTTAGCAATGCCATTACTCATTATTAGCATAAGAAAACAATGACTATGCGATTTGGAGCATTCTTAATGTACACACATTTATCACATTTATTAATGTCAAATTATTTGGCAACATTGTATGGTCATATTTTGCATGCCATTGTTTGCATGTTTGTTCTAGTCTGCAAAGTGACTTAACAAGTCTATAAACCGTTTTCTCTTTGCCTGGAACAACAAACCCTTCTAGTTGTTCCATGTAAATTTCCACCTCCAAATCTCCATTTAAGAAGACCGCCTTGGCGTCCATTTGATGGATTTCAAGACCATATACGGTAGCTAATGCTACTAATGTTCGTATGGACATAATTCTTGTAAGAGGTGAGCATGTGCCAAAATAGTCAAGACCTTCTTGTTGTCTATAACCTTTAACAACAAGTCTTGCTTTATACTTGTCAATAGTACCATCATCTTTTATTTTTCTTTTAAAAATCAATTTAGAACCTAACGGTTTATTCCCACGAGGAAGATTAACCAATCATCATATATGGTTGTTCAATATGGATTTTATTTCACTATTGATTGTCTCTTTTCAAAATGGTGATTCCGAAGAAGACATAGCTTCTTTAAATGATCGAGGCTCATTTTCCAATAAGAAAGTCACAAAATCTAGTCCAAACGAAGTAGACGTTCTTTGTCGTTTACTACATCTTTGATCCTCCTCATTAGATGTACTTTCTTTTGTTCTTTCCCGAAGTCGTTTGGATTCTTCACCAATAGACTCATATTCCTTATTATACGTATATATATATTCAGAGTATTCAGAATTATCTAATTCTATCACCGTATTATTATGAGTGACAAGATTTTTTGAATGATCAAAAAATCAATATGCTTTACTATTGGTTGCACATCATATGAAAATACAATCAACAGTTTTCTGTCCTATCTTTAGCCTTTTGGGTTTAGGAATTTGCAGCTTCGCCAAACACCCCCACACTTTAAAATAATTCAAGTTGGCTTTATTACTCTCTATTTTTCATATGGAATAGATTGTGTTTTGCTATGGGACACTCGGTTAAGTATTCGGTTAGTCGTAAGAATGCTTCCCCCATAAGTTCTATGGTAAACCAAAACTTATCAACAAAGCATTCAACATCTCCTTTAATATTCGATTCTTTCTTTCCATAATCCCATTGGATTGGGGCATATAAGGGGCCACTGTTTGATGAATAATTCTATATTCTAAACATATTTCTTCAAAAGGAGATTCGTATTCACCACCCGGTCACTTCTTATCATTTTAATTTTCTTGTTAAGTTACGTTTCAACTTCATGTGCTTATTACTTGAAGGCATCTATTATTTGCTTATTACTTGAAGGCATCTATTATTTTATATCTACTACTAAGTAAGTAAACATAGCAATATCGGGTATTGTCATCAATAAAAGTTATGAAAACTTCTTTCCACCGATATGGTATTAACTTCATGAAACAAATATCTGTATGAATTAAATCTAAGGGATATGAATTCCTTTCAACTGACTTATACGTATGTTTAACATACTTAGACTCTACA